AGTTTTCGAAGCTTTCTCTCGACGTGCATCGATTTGAACAGGAAAAGCAAAGTAGGGAAATAGCTCCTCATCCTCTTGGTACCTCCCTTTACAACCTACCTTAGCTCTCACAAATTTGTTCTGAGAAACTTGCCGTCGATCGAGTAGAGGGTGTTTGGGTGGGCGCCAGACACCTTCTATCAATTATGGCTGCACACCACGCATGAAAGGGGAACTAAACCATCAGAAAGATTCTCCCCTTGGCAAAACGCGGCCACCTTCCCTCCTCGGCCGCCAAAAACAGGTCTTCTATTGTGGTTTACCCAACGAGTGCTGTGCTCTCGGTGTAGCTCCAGAACCCCACCGACTCTCCTGACTAGGAAACCAAAGACAGTGTGATCTCCTTGGACGGTCCATCAGGGCGATTCAGCGACGGGGAGGCATTTTGCGCTTTTGCTACATTCCATCGACGTTTCGAGCCATCTAGAGAGCTATTTCTTGAGCTTACAAGAGTTGACAGTTAAACAATTTTCGCTGGACGAACTTGGTACAGCTTCACAAGAGTTCGCAGGTTTCACCAGAGTGAGACATGTGAACCGGAAGCCGTGAAGCAGCGAAAGTGCAAAATGCCCACACCCGTCGCCGAACTGCGGCCGGTCAGTTCCATGAGCGAGGAGAATGGTTCCGCAGGTAGCCACTTTCTCCTGTCAAAAGTGTGTCGGAACGGGCCGGCAGTAATAGCCTGAAGTCGTCTCTATACTCCGCCCACGTTAGTGCACTCCCAGCCAAAAGCCTAACCCTCACCCAACGCCCAGCTTGTCCGCGCCATCCCACTTCTGGCTGGTCTCTACCGCTGCCTGCGTGTTCAGCTGCGGGATTCTTGTATCGACGTAGGTGTTGCACATTGGAAGAACACAAGCGAAGTATGGAGATGGCACTCGGGTACCACGATCCTATGGCCCTGTTCCCGTGCACTTCTGAGCGAAAGGGCTGGCAAGATGCTGTATCTGCAGAAAGATTCGTCTCACATTTGGCAATGGCCGTTCGCGAAAACAGTGTACAGTTTCCCTTAAAGTCGAAGTCGCTGATGTATTGGCAAAAGACAACCTGTTCCCTTTCTCTTTAGTCTGCCTGTTCATCTGAGGTGGTGAAAAGGAGGACGCACTGATGAGAAGCGAATGAGGAGTTCACGGATAAGGACGATGGTTCTCAGTTTTACCCATACCCAGACCAACGTATACCGCACCTTGAATGCTATTCGTCGGTCCTGGCCAGGGCTAATTTCCTCAGGACGGCATCGAAGGATTAAATAGGAGCTCTCGAATGAAATCCTTCCTAATGTAGAGGGGATACGTTGCCCTGCAACACCGCACAGTAGCCCTTCTTTTCTTCAACTTGTAGTGATAGCAAGTATCCTCAGTACTAATTTCTGAGTTCCAGTCTTACCTCGACGCCAATCAGCTTGCTCGTGTGAACGCTCAGGCCAACAGCTGTCAAAAGAAGGTGGATCAGAACCAATGGGCTCAAGCAACCACTTGTTGGGGAAATATGGAGGACCTTATTGAGCTGGTTGGTGACAATTTGCTCTTGAGCGAACGATACTTGAGAAAACTTTGAACGTTCTAGGAAACGGGTGGTGTTTCATGGTACAATATCCTGAAGTACGGTGGGCAGGACGATTGGTCGAAGAAACGAAGAAAGAGAGCAGCGTTCCATTCGAGAAGTAATATTGTTTTCATAGTGCTGTTTTTCTTATTCGGGGTGGGAAAAGGCGGGTGGGGGGAGGGGGTAAAAACCACTGTGGGTCAACTGTCGACATTTCCACGTCACTTTTCCAGCAAATAGGGCACGTCTTGCTGTTGGTTTTTTTTGCAAAATGCGACCCATCAAAATTTCCTCCTCTGGTGCGACTCCCCCCCCCTCCTTTCCCATCCCTCATCCTACCTGACATTTTGCTATATGTTCCCGAATTTTTCCAACTTTATCGCAGGTTTTCCCAGAAGTTCTCCACTTTTTCCGGATTCGTTTCAGATCGCCAGTTCGAACGTCATGTTGCTGCCTTCCAACGAGATGCGCTTTCCAGCTATATGGACACTACGTAC